TGGATACAATCGGGCCATTTTGTGACATTATTACTTGTCATGAATACAATCGGGCCATTTTGTGATATTGTTACTTGTCATGGATACAATCGGGCCACTTTGTGACATTATTACTCGTCATGGATACAATCGCCCCCCCCCCCCAATGACACTGCTGTATGTCTGCGGACTTACAACGCTAGAAACCGGGTTTCGATACCCGTGGTGGCCAGAGCACAGATCGCCCATTACGTAGCTTTGTGCTTAATTACAAACACACACAATCGGGCCATTTTGTGATATTGTTACTTGTCATGGATACAATCGGGCCATTTTGTGACACTGTTACTTCTCAAACCAACAAATATTGTTTTGTAAAAGCCGTCGAATAAATGATAAATTATCAATTCTTTGTGTATAAATTTTCTCCGAAACTCTTATTAACTTTACGAAATTGTTTGTTTCAGAATTTCGCGTGAAGCTATTCAATGAATATTTGTTCACACCCGTCCCTAATTTTGAACTGATAGACTAGAGGAAAGTTGGCTAGGCAACAGTAAATACCTCCGACTCTTTGGCTACTCTTATCTGATCGATTAGTGGGATTTAACTGCTATTCTTATAGCGCACGCAAGATCTCAAAGTGCGGAGCGTATTTTTATGGACCATATAATCTTGGATTCGTAGTCCGGATACATTAACCACTAGGCAAGCCAGACCTATTTCACGAAATTATTAAATAAAAAGTAATTTTCTTTTTAGTGACAAAGCCTGAAACGTGACATCATAATATCAACTAACATGTGTCCTCTCAGAAGACTTGGAAACATTTTACTGGTTTAATAAAATAGAGAACCTACTACCTAATAACTTGTTTCAGTAATCAAATGTACTTTTAATCTATTATCCAGTGGCTATAAAATATTTACAAGATAATTATAGGATTTTAATAGTAATTTATAAGTTGTTTAATTCCCTTAAAAGAAAAAATAAATATTCAGCTTTTTCAGTTTGCCTGTATCAGTAACTTTAGTTTTTAACATTACCGATAGATGGCGGTTGTCGTAATAAAAGTGTGGAGCAAAGTGATTAAGTAATATAATGAAAAACAACAACAAACACGACATCTGGATTTCTAAAGAGAAACTTCTGAAATACATTTAAGGTGGAAAAGTTAAAACATTAGCAATGGCCATAAATGGTAGATTACAGCGTAGTGAAATTTGATAATACAAAAATTTTGAAAGTAGCTTTTAAAAAGATTAATTGGAGTCATTTTTCTGGCCAAATATCCTACTATAAGGCTGGTGATGGGCATGTGGCTGAAAAGTCAGTTATATTACTCCCTATTTAAAGCCCCCCAGTGGCACAGCGGTATGTCTGTGGAGTTACAACGCTAGAAACCGGGTTTCGATACCAGTAGTGAGCAGAGCACAGGTAGCCCTTTGTGTAGCTTTGTGCTTAACTAAATTACCAAACCAACCCTATTTAAACCCTCAAATTATCGACCTGTACATTGCTCTACACATTTGGAGCCCACATATTTAATCATGTTAAATAATTTAATATTTTTTTGTTTGTTATGCTACCCAGGGTAAAGAACCATACAAATAAACTAGGTGAAATCGTTCATTTTCTATGCAAAACACATAAGAAGTCCTAGCAGTAATTACTAAAATTAAATGTTCAAACTTTGTGTTGTGTGTGTATGTGACTCAGGTGTTATTAAGTATTCTGACGGTTTCAACGACCCACAAGCAGTTTGGCGGATAAAAAGTTTAGAAAAATGTGTTAAAAAAGTCGATGAGGATATTCACGTGGATTCTTTAACGATAATTATAGGGTTAAATACGTTAAAGTATTTTGTATACTCTCAATTTAGATGAAGTAACTATAAACATAGACATGATTATACAATATTGCCTGTTACTTGAAGTAACTATAAACTTAGACATGATTATACAATATTGCCTGGTACTTGAAGTAACTATAAACATAGACATGATTATACAATATTGCCTGGTACTTGAAGTAACTATAAACATAGACATGATTATACAATATTGCCTGGTACTTGAAGTAACTATAAACATAGACATGATTATACAATATTGCCTGGTACTTGAAGTAACTATAAACTTAGACATGATTATACATTATTGCCTGTTACTTGAAGTAACTATAAAAGTATGGCGTAGCTCCCCTCTCAAGGGTTTATCATGAGGGTCAAAACGCGCCCTGAAGGTCACCCCACATGCTGGAAGTGTATAAGTAGGTTCCAAGATTGCCGAACAAGAATCTGTCTTCAGATTTATGTTCCTGTTCTTGTTCCTTCTGAACCCCTGAGGTGACATTTCTGAAACTGTGTTCATATCCCCACTTATAGACTAAATGTGCCTCAGATGCTCAGGTACCACGGGCAGGGGGCCCGGCATGGCCAGGTGGTTAGGACGCTTGGCTCGTAATCTGAGGGTCGTGGGTTCGAATCCCCGTTACACCAAACATGCTCGCCCTTTCAGCCGTGGGGGCGTTATAAAGTGACGGTCAATCCCACTATTCGTTGGTAAAAGAGTAACCCAAGAGTTGGCGGTGGGTGGTGATGACTAGCTGCCTTCCCTCTAGTTTTACACTGCTAAATTAGGGACGGCTAGCGCAGATAGCCCTCGTGTAGCTTTGCGCGAAATTCCAAAAAAACAAACAAACAAAAACAAACTACATTGTATACTAAAATAGACCTAAAAGATTTGATCCGGGTTTTCAATGATTTGTTTGATAACTTTATAAATAATGAAACAACTGTACCTAAATTTCAATTTACTAGAATTCATGTAAAAATATACTCCATTTCTGTTCATTTATAACAGTTATACTGTTTTTAACGGTGGGTATTCCAATGGGAACGACTTCTCTTCAAATATGGCCAACCTGTATTCGTGCAACTTTGCGCGGAAATTCGAAATAAACAAACCAAACCAGTTAATATATATATATATATACTTTAATTCCTCTTGTTTTTTGTCGTTGTTGATTTTTCTGGCCAAACTTTAGGTACTTACCTTCCCTTTGAGACTGGGGAATAAGTGTTGGCTGTTGGGTCAGTGCTTGAGCAAACTGCCCGTACCCTGCAGGATATGCGGCGGCTGAAAAATAATAAAATGTTTAACTGTAATATATTATTATAAAACATTCAACATGAATATGTTTGCGCGTTTATTCGAATATTTATTCGTTGATAAAGTTTATCAGATCGAAGTCAGAGGCTGAGCTGGAACTGTTGAAGTCATAGTATAGATGTTAAAGTCAAGACTAAACAATAGCTGCCTGCGCACAGCCCCTTCTTCTAACTTTGTTTTTATCCCAAAGCTACACAATGGGCTATTAGCACTCTGTTTACCACGAGGAATCAAACCCCAGATTTTAATATTTTAGGTCTGTAAATTTACCACTGGCTCACAGAGAGACCTCTTAACTTGGAAAGAATAGACTAGAGGACAGGTGGCTAATTAACGTCTCATAAAATGGCTCTGAGTTGTTGTTTTATTTGAAGTACAAACTCTTAGCTCATAGTTCCGTCATCTCTTGACCGAGTTGAGATCTAAGTACAGTTTTGAACTCAAGAGATTAAACCCTTTCGAATTGATGTACTTGGCCACGCTCAAGGTCTCATTGATTAATTTACTCTAATCCTGCCAAAAATAATTTCAGTTTGAGGGTAGGCTGGTAGAGATCCTGATGAGTAATGAAATCGAATCGGATATACGCGCGCCTCACACTTGGTATTGCTTGCAGCGAAAAATATAGCTAAGAGAAAAAAAAAAGTCTCATATGTTAATTTACTCTAACAGAATTTTAAGTGCCGCGGCTATTGAGGATTCCCTCTTGGTTTTAGATAACACTCCAATGATATGTGTAAATTCAATTTCAGGTTTGGATGAGGGTTGTATTAAGATAATGTTTACTTAGACAAAAATCATGTGATAATGAAAGAATAAGTGAAAATAATAATAGAATAAGTGCAACAAGGAGCTTCAATCATTCACAAGAAGGTAAAATATATTTTGTATTTATATTTTTTATTGTTTAGCGTTATAAGCCTTCAGATTTACTTCTGAGCCACTGGGAGGCTTTGTATTTATAACAAAGCTACCAAGGCTATCTCAGCCGACCCTAGTTATGAACAACTGACAAGAGGGAAGGCATCTAGTTAGCAACAGCATACCATCCACTAATTATTCTCTGGTTGTTTAAGTATATTATATTGGTGTGTTTGAGTAGGTGATGTCTCTAGTTGTTTATGTATATTATATTGGTGTGTTTGGATACGGTGACACCTCTAGTTGTTTAATTATATTATATTGGTGTGTTTGGATACGGTGACGTCTCTAGTTGTTTAAGTATATTATACTGTTGTGTTTGAGTACGGTGGCGTCTCTAGTTGTTTATGTATATTATACTGTTGTGTTTGAGTACGGTGGCGTCTCTAGTTGTTTATGTATATTATATTGGTGTGTTTGGATACGGTGACATCTCTAGTTGTTTAAGTATATTATATTGGTGTGTTTTAGTATGGTGGCGTCTCTAGTTACTCTGTAGAATGACTGTCGCTCTTATAACTCACACACCTCTTAAAGTGTAGGAAATATTTTGTGGTATTGCACGGATTCAAAACCGTCTCGCCAGCTCCGAAATCCAGATTGCCAACTCACGCTCAAAAAGAAAAGGAAGAACCAGGTAGGAGTTGTTATACAAGAGTTTAGGAAAAGGTAAGTTATGGAGCTTTGGCCTAATAGTTGATAAAACAAGTATATATATATTGTCGTAACTTGTTGAACTGCTCTAAGAAAAAAGTGTGTAATATTATTGAATATATGCATGTCCAGTCCAAAATTCCGTTTTTTTTTAAATAAAATTCAAAATGACCGAAATTTGTGTTAATAATAAATCACTTTTTTCAGGTGAATTTGAGCTTCGATTTAACACAGGATATAAATTTAAGAAACGCGGATTTCCTGCGACAGTGAAGCAAACGAGTACTGAGCGTGACCTAATGGTTAGCGTGCCATCTATTTTTTCATCAGATGTTATTTAATTTTCTTTTATCATCTATTGGATGAGGAATCCAGTGAAACTCTGTCGCGACCATTTTGGAATTACAGAGGAAACTTATGCTCATTTTTTAAATGCGCAATTGTTTACATGACTTATGGATTTTAATGTCCATATGTTTATTGCGTTCTTTTTTTTCTTATATCTAGGGAAAGAGTTTTATTGTTCCCAATTTCACTAAAAAATCAGCCTTAAGATCTTTTAGTAATTGTTTCCTGACGTGGATGATTATTTACTTCTTCTTTGAAGCCTAGCATGGTCAGGTAGTTAAGACGCTCGAGTTGCAATCTGAGGGTGGCGTATTCGATTTCCGATCGTCGAACATGCTCGTCCTTTCAGCCGTGGAGGCGATATAATGTGACGGTCAATTCCACTATTCGATGGTAAAAGAGTAGCCCAAGAGTTGGCGGAGGGTGAAGTTGACTAACTGCCTTCCCTCTAGTCTTACACTGCTAAATTAGGAACAGCTATCGCAGATAGCCCTCGTGTAGCTTTGCGCGAAATTTAAACCAAATTTCAGTTCAGTTATGGTTATAATGAAAAAATTCAGCCAATGTTGAATTTGTTATTCTAAGAGTGAAACATGTACAACGGCTTTTACATACGGAAAATATACAATGAAAATAAAGTAAAACTAACGTGAAAATAATTACCGTAAATTGTTTCGTATGAATAGAGCAAACATTTTAGAACAACACCATTACTATAATTACGTGAAATCAGTTATCTATTATCAAAACACCATTATTATAATTACGTGAAATCAGTTATCTAGTATCAAAACACCATTATTATAATTACGTGAAATCAGTTATCTATTATCAAAACACCATTATCATAATTACGTGAAATCAGTTATCTATTATCAAAACACCATTATTATAATTACGAGAAATCGGTTATCTAGTATCAAAACACAATTATTATAATTACATGAAATCAGTTATCTATATCAAAACACAATTATTATAATTAGGTGAAATCAGTTATCTACTATCAAAACACCATTATTATTATAATTACGTGAAATCAGTTATCTACTATCAAAACACAATTATTATAATTACGTGAAATCAGTTATCTACTATCAAAACACCATTATTATAATTACGTGATATCAGTTATCTATTATCAAAACACCATTATTATCATGATTACGTGAAATCAGTTATCTACTATCAAAACACCATTATTATAATTACGTGATATCAGTTATCTACTATCAATTATTATAACTACATGATATCAGTTATCTAGTATCAATTATTATAGAACCAGGAGATTTATTTCGCAGCAAATTAAAAACAGCTGTTGGATGATTAAAAAACTAAATTGTTTTACAATAATGAAGTAAGATGGATTTACTGCACCCAATGAAACAAAATGGACGAATATGAGGACCAGAGTACTTATGTTACGTTTAACACCATTTGTAAAAGACAATTTTCTGAAAAGTAAAGATGTATCCAGAAGTGAAGGCTTACCGATTCCCGGATAAGCATGTAAACTCGGATAAGCAGAAGGTTGGAGCGCTTCGCCATTTGGTAATGCTTGAGCTGAAAGAGATAAAAAAACTAAACCTTTTATGTTTCAGCCTGAAAATAAAGTTTACGTCTAATGTGTTAATGTTCCTAATTCGAGGACGTAATCTTAACTCTACAACCTTAATTAAGTCTACAGAAAATGAGCCGAACGTGTATAACTGTTCTAGGAACAGACAGAAAAAAAAAAGAACTCAACGTTTCAGTTTCATACAGATCGCCATGTTCCAATAATTGAAATTCATTTAAAACTGGTTCAGTCGCAACCAAAGCAATTCCAGTTGATGTACATTCCACTCAAAAATAAAGATTCCATGACAGAATTGAGGAAACATCTGTTAAAAAATACATAGCCACGCGTAAACAGCTGACATCAACGTAAAGTGGGCTATCACCAAAGAAAGCTGCGTTAAATGTGATTCGGGATTTCTCAGAAGTTTGTTAGGGCGTTAGATCTTGAAGATACATGTTCAAGTGATGTATTATAATACTGCAGGGAATCCTGCTTTTCAGTTGTGCGTACTTTAAAGTGCGAAGCGCATGTTCTGCGGCAAAATGTGGCTCGAACTTTGGACCTTAAGATCCGCAACCGGACATACTATAACATGTTTTAAATAAAAGGTTTTGTTTTCCTATTTGCTAGTTGCACTACCAACGCCATAAATAGTGTGATGCAAATGGTCGATTGTAACTTCTATTAAAAACTAATCTGCTTATAAACCAAAAACAAAATATTTGTTCCCTGTAAGCTGGTTTCCCTCCAACGTTTATGGGAGAGGATGGGGAAGATGTGCACCTCCTTCTGAGTTTTGCTGCAGTGTCTGTAAATAATAAAAGGGAGGGAGTGTGTATAGGGTACGCACAACTGAAAAGCAGGATTCCCTGCAGTATTATAATACATCACTTGAACATGTATCTTCAAGATCTAACGCCCTAACAAACTTCTGAGAAATCCCGAATCACATTTAACGCAGCTTTCGATGGTGATAGGGGAGGGAGTGTGTATAGGCTGTGACTGAAAATCTTGCTATTCTGTTAAGAATATCCCCACAGGTGGCGAATTTTGGTAACCGGTTACCCACTCTCTGGTCAGCAGTTCTAAATTAGAGATGACTATGACCGAGTCTCGGGATATCTGACCAGTTCATTTATCCGTGTGTCACATAGCTTGAAAATACAAAATATCAGAAGAACTCATTCAATACACTTAAAGGTCCACTTTGATAGCAGTCACAAATCGACATGAATTTAAATGGAGTTTAGAATTTAAAAAAAAAGTATTTAATCTAATCGAAAATAAAAATCTGCTAAGCTACAATTTCAACCAGGATATTAAAGTTACATATAAAGTATCTATCTGTTTATAACTAAGAAACATTCACCTTTATAGACGAATAATTCCACAAAACTAGAAAACAAAAACAAAAGTATTGTACATACAGGCCTGACACCTGGGTGCTAACAACGTGGGAAGATAAAAATGTACCTTAATAAGAAAGATATCTGATGGGCGATGTGTCAAAACCACTACTTTCGCAGGGTGTATTTTACTATTTCCACGTTGTAACTTTCACCCTAGATTTGTTTCTTGTCTGCTCTGTATGTCAGACTCGGATTAATTGTTAGTGTGTGGGGCCGCGAATCGAAGGGGCAGGAGGTTGATATTTAGTGGTGCTCCGTTCTTTTAGCTGTGGACGCTTTATAGAAGTGACAGTCGCTGTTTATGCTCTCTTTATTCGGTTCTTTAATCTTGTGGATTTTTTACAAAAATTAACTAAGATAATTAACTAACATAGATTGTTAATTTTAAAACACATACAAACAAAACATATTTACACTTACGGGGATAATGAAGCATTCCATTTGCATACACTTCACCTGTCTGGCCATTAGCTTGAGGTATGGTTGAAGTAGGCAAGGTAGGGGAAGGAATGTTTGGGATGGTGCCATTGACAGACTGAGCTCCTGGATGTGAAGAATATCAGTGTAATTTAAATAACATCCGAAATCCTTGAATGAACCAATCTACTATAAAAGTGTACTTATTAATAAGAACTTCTGAGTAAAAGTAAAGAAGACTGAGTAACTATATGTTAACCACACCATATTTGCCAAATCCTGTGCCGACAAGGCATTTCGCCCAATACCAAGGCTCTTCAGACCTGCTGGGATACGATTGACATAGTAGCAGTTTTAATGGATCAAACCAAGCTAATAATACTTTGTCTAATATAATGTAGAATCTCAAGAAAAATAGTGTAACTCAGTTAACTTAATATTACTTGTATTTCTATAAACCTGGTAAACATGTACTAAACTGTAGCCTGGTCTCATTTGGAACAAGAGAGACATCTGCTTCATATTAATTTTATGGGATAAAATATCCCTGCCATAAAATTAAAGAACTGACAAAATAAATCTAATTTTAAAGCAAAATGTAAAAAAAATCAAGATGATTGACTTTTTGCTCTGAAGGAGATGGCTACACTCAATCATTATGACACAAATTGGCTCCAAAATGGCGTTCAATTAAAAATTTCAGGTTAAGCCTTCTTTAAACAAACCCATTCAGAACAAATGGAGAAGCTCTTAGCTACTGACTATAAATTAAGCAAAAAAAAGTTAATAAGTACTCTTAATAACTTGAAACAACATATCAGAAAATAGCATTAACCCCAATACATTTTTCACTTTTCATTACTTTGATGAAAATATAGCTTTGAAACTCAGCTAATATTTCTTACTTAGAATTACTTACAATTAAGACACAACTAACGTGTATACCAAAAATAAATTGACACTTTTTAAAATTTATCATTTCATCACACAACTTGTTAACTTACGTTGATTAGTAACTAATGGGAAAGAGATCATCAGAATCCTAGGTTCTAAATAGAAGGTACCACAAACAACAACCAGTGCCTGTATTATTGAGTATGAGCATAAAGTAAAACAAAAAAAAGAAGGATTTGTTTGTAACTTTTGGTTTGTTTTGTTATTCAGCACAAAGCTACATAATAGGTTATCTGTGTGTGTGATATGCCCACCACGGGTATCGAAACCCGATTTTTAGCATTATAAGCCTTTAGATGTACCACTGAGCCACTGGGGGACAATTGTTTTCAAATTCTAAATCACAATCAAACTTGTTTTTTTAAACTGTACCTCTCTCTCTTGCTTTTGATTAAAATATCTGCTATATGAAATTGATCTATTTTATCACTCGAACAAAATCTTTATAAGCTTGGAGTAAACTGATTTCCTAACGTCTTCAAATCACCAAACTTCTCGTATTACATTATAACAGTAACTAGAATCTCCATGCCTTTTAGGTATAAGCAGCACACATCCAGAAAACCTTACAAAATTTCTTGAAAATTCCATTACAAATAGCAATTTTCTAAGCATTTTATTATTATATAACTTTTTATATCTTCCTTTTTTTTTCACTGCATGCTAAATCTTCAAATTCTGACATGGTTTATCGGATATTAAATGTGATTTTACAATTCCAGTTTAACTAGCCTAAAGCATTTCTGTCACGCTAAGCTTCTTTGGAACTCGTAATCTGACACTGGACTTTTCCAAACAAAACTAACCATGTTTATATTGATGTTGTCAGATAGCAAATTTAATATCCTTCTGCCTCAAAAGAAGAAAAGCTAATTTTTTCTGGGTGCATTCATCACATTTATTTAGTTTTCAAACTGCCTGATAGAAGACAACAAATTTCTTAAGACTTGTTTGAAATTTACACACACACACACATATATATATATATATTGTTTATTCTACTATGTTTATTGTTAATCACTGATCTGTTTATGTTGTATTTACTGCAGGGATTGTTCCCGAATTTTAGCTTAATCTCTCAATGATACTACTGAGCTACTGGGGAGGCTATATTAACACTTTGAATTGATATGATCAAGTTTAGATAATGTATACGTCATGCCTAATAATTAGTAATGTTTTTTTTAAAAAATTTCATCATGTACGACTGTAATATTAGAAAAAAAAGCACTTTTGGAGAAAAATGCTGTAATTTTAACTCTGTCAAAGTGTTAACTCTTAGCAATTTTAAATACAGCTATCAGTGGGTCAGCGCTAAGTTTACAGACTTATAATGTCAAAGTCCAGGGTTCAATTTCCTACGGTGAACAGAGTGCAGATAGCTCATTCTGTAACTTTGTGCTAAAAAATAACAATGCAACAAAGTGCTAATTAAAATAAACAATAAAAATAAAGTATACAAAACATCTCAAGAGAACAGGTCAAGTGCTATCAAGTAGTGACCTATTTTTATGAGGAGGTCCTAATAAAGAAGCACTCGGGCTTTTATGTTGTTTTGTAAACCTCGTATGAAACTTAAACCTGCGCAGCTAAGCAAAAGTCAAAGAGATAATGTGAACGTCCAAGACATACAGAAATAATACTAGATGTACTAATGCAAAAGTGTTCTATTTCAAGACTAAATAAAACTAAAATTAAGAGTAACAAATATTTTTATTTCTTGTTTTTGAAGTTCATATGTCATATTGTGTTATAGCCTACAAAGTGCATAATTCTTCTCGTGATTCATGGCATGTGCACGTTTTACTGACATCACGACAGTACAAATTGCAACATTAAGCATCCCTTATGTGGCATCATTTTAGTGTTTAATGACTGACTGACAGACAACACACTACTGTATGCTGGTGCGAGTAGTTAAAACAGGTTACCCTTCCAGGCGGCCTTTGTTGAGTAAAAAGAAATATAAACAACGTTACTAAAGGTGTACGTCATTATAGATGTCTAAAGCATTTCAATGACAATATGAAAAAAAGTAATACAAACACATGAAAAAATTAGTGTAAGAAACACCTGATGGAGGAAAGCGATCTAGCTGTAGTTTTAGGCCTGGAGTTATTTCAAGGTATGACTCTCTAATTTTATACTAGTTAATAAACGTTTTTAATGAAAACGAGTTTTTAAAATTTTTCAAAAGAAAAAACAACTACTTTTCCAACATTTTCAAATTCCGATCCAAACAACATGTCTTTATTTATCACGAAACTTTCATTATTTTCTCTTAAGATGTCTAATGACGTTTTTTTTTGTTCACCCATTTGCCTATATTTAAATTTTCCTCTTTGTTTCTGTTGAAGTAAATATAATTTAACCAGCACGTTCGTGGCTATGTGAAGGAACAAAATAGCCTTGAAAATAACTTATTTATTTGAAATCTCTTTAATTGTTTATTTGGTCTTAAGCGCAAAACTGCTCTATTGGCTATCTGCAGTGTGTCCATCGCAGAGATCGGGCCTCGAATTTTAGCATTATAAGTTTTAAAGCTTATTTCTGAGCTACCTTGGAAAATCAGATTTAATGGAAAAACTTGTTAGTCAATTTATATATATAACCAGTCAATAAAGATAACGAGACAAAAAAAATGGGATACAGAAGAGGATAGAAAGTATAGTTTTATTACAAAAGCTGGCTGTGGCCCAGAGTTATCGTGTCAGATTGAGGATCAGTGGGTCTATGGTTCGCTTCCCGTTAACGCAAAAAAACAACAACAAAAAAACACAAAACAAATCGCGTTTCGTACTTTGGAGCCGTTGGTGCATTATAAGGGTGACAGTCAAATATAATTATTTGGTTGCTAAGAGTAGTCCAAGAGTTGGCAGTGGGTGCTGTTAACTAGCTGCCTTACCTCTTCTCCGTCGGTTCAAAACTGGGGATGATGAGCGCAGACAGACCTTGTGTAGCTTTGAGTGAAGTTTCCCAAAACAAACAAAACATTTTGTTGCTAATGATGGTAAGCTGATTTACCGAGACGTTCTGCTTAATTCTTTGGTAGATACCATTGTAGGCCCTTTACTTTCGTTGTATACAATTATTATGTAACTCACCCTATAAAGGTATAATTTTTCAATTATATTTTGGGAGTGATATTAAAAGGGTCAACGTCTTAGCAAAGTTCGGTGATATATTACCAAATTATTTGATGGGCCTTGCAGTGACGTAGATTTTATTCAGTAATAAGCTAAGGTACCCGTCTTTTATCCGGGTTATGAATGTAAAAAATGTGGGGGTGGATGCTTATGAGAAATAACACAAAAATCCTAACTTTACCAAAATTTATTTATAACATTTATTACAGTATTTATTATTATCTCACCAAAAGTATTGTATAAGCTTTAAGAACACACTATGTATATACTTAGAACACAGTATATACTGTGCAATAGTCAGAGTGACTTTGTAGGAAGAGATAGCGGCCAAAGTAGTGGCGGTAGGAGTGATTTCTGTTACCCGCTTTCAACACCCAACTCTTAATGCCCTTCCACAGTGTTTCACGTTATAAATTTATTTACGGTCATTGGCCACAGAAGTGTCTTACGGGATGAAGGTATAGGGTCACGGGTGAAAGTACGAAGTGGGTCTAACTCAAGAAACTGCTCTTCATATGAGCGTTATGATGGCTGTTGGGGTAGAAACTTCAGCTGAATTTATGTAGTATTGCAATAGTGGCGGCCATTTTCTTTCACTGCATTTTTCCATAGAAAGTGCTAGCGCAATCTCTGAGATATATAATATGTTTGTGTATCCTCCCCCACATTGCGTGTATGTTGTGTTATGACAAATTTAATAGTTTTTGTGTGGTGTAAGAATGTGTTGCTATCTATGAATGTAGTTAACGTTAACTTATGCCAAATATAACAAATGCTCAATAAGAGCAGTAATGGGTAGTGGAGGGGATTATGAACCGCCATTAACACTCCCCTTGTTGTAAACTATCATCACACAAAGTTTGTTTGAGATTAATCCAATAACCTATGAGTAGTTAGATAAGGGGCAAACAGACAGACACACAGATTTTTGTACTTTATATATATATAGATTATTAGCCAGGGTCGTAGTCAAAATTTCGGTTCGGGGGGGGGGTTGTTTGGAAATAAACCCCCCTCCAAAACAAAACAAACACCTTGCCACTTCCAGCATTCCGTTTGGTTCATATTTAACATTTTGGGCATTTTCCTTTTCTGGAAAAATGAACTCAATTTTTTAACAATTTCTAGGGGTAGGACTCATTACAAGATTGTAATTTTTTCTTCCATTATCATACAGTTTACAAACATACAAACTGCACATACATATGACATGCTTTAGAGAAAAATCTGTCTTTTCTCTCACAATCCTCTTCCTCGTTATTTTCATTATTCTTTGTTTATCCATTTTTGTTGTTGTTGTTGTTGAGACGGAAGATATTTCGGAGAGGGAGTTTATTACCTATTCTCTCCCCTCCTTGTTTCTATGGTCTTGTTATTAGCAGTCTGTCTTCACTATACTTTATCTGTTAAATTAGCTAACCAAGAAAATTGCGTGTTAATTAAACCATTTTTAGAAAACCCAAACAGAAATTTTGGTTTAAGTATCGTCGCATCAGTTTTATATATATTCCCGTACGGATATTTTTGACTAGAATGTAATGATAAAATGTCAAGTTTCGTTAACTTGTGAAATTATTTGGTCATAACGTACACTTTAGTTTTATGGATCCGTTTCTTTGTTAGGTTTTAATTGCATATATTTCATTAACTCACCTTATTATGACGTTGTTTATAATAAGATATATGAGATACATTCAAATGTAATACTTCTTTCTCTTTCATTACAAACTTACGATGTTTAGATAAAAAAAGATTTTTCAGTCGACATATAATTTTCTATAGGCTTGTTTATTTGCTTTAGAGCTATTTGCTGTGGCCACCGTGAAGAATCGAGTCCCGAATTTTATCGTTGTAAGTCAGTATACATACCATTGTCTCATTTTCATCAGTTTATTGGCTATATTTGTAACTGTTAGCTGCACTATGGACTTTTTGTGCCAGGTTTCGTTAAACCTTGAATTTTACCGTTGTATTTATTTGTTT